CAGTCCTGATCTTTCACCGATTGAGAACATTTGGTGCATAATTAAACGAAAAGTCCGTCAAAGGAGACCCAAAACTCTCCAGCAGCTGGAAGCCTACATTAAACAAGAGTGGGATCAAATTCCAATGGCTAAACTCAAGAAACTTGTCTCCTCAATGCCCAGACGCCTCCACTCTGCGTTAAAAAGAAGAGGGGATGCTACACCATGGTAAACAGGCCCCTGTCCCAACTTTTTTGAGACCTGTAGCAGCCATCAAATTTGAAATGAGCTCATTTTGTGGATAAAATTTTAAAATTTTTCAGTTTCAACATTTGCTATGTTATCTCTGTTCTATTGTGAATAAAATATTGGCTGCTGTGATTTGAAAATCATTGCATTTTGATTTTATTCACAATTTACACTTTGTCCCAACTATTTCGGAATTGGGGTTGTAATTGAAGAGCCTCGTGCTAAAATTGCTTAAGTCACAAAATGTCTATTTTGAGAAAATTGAGAAGATCAACTGAGGAGACGACAAAAGATGTTTTCCCATCCTTACCTCATAATGTGTGAAAATGTGACTTAAATACTTTTAGCACGAGGCTCTTCAATTGTACAACCCCAGGTCCGAAATAGTTGGGACAAAGTGTAAATTGTGAATAAAATCAAAACACAATGACTTTCAAATCACACCAGCCAGTATTTTATTCACAATAGAACAGAGATAACATCGCAAATGTTGAAACTGAGCAATTTTACAATTTTATCCACAAAATGAGCTCATTTCAAATTTGATGGCTGCTACAGGTCTCAAAAAAGTTGGGACAGGGGCCTGTTTACCATGGTGTAGCACCCCCTCTTCTTTTTAACGCAGAGTGGAGGCGTTTGGGCATTGAGGAGACAAGTTTCTTGAGTTTAGCCATTGGAATTTGATCCTACTCTTGTTTAATACAGGCTTCCAGCTGCTGGAGAGTTTTGGGTCTCCTTTGACAGATTTTTCATTAGATTATGCACCAAATGTTCTCAATCGGTGAAAAATCAGGACTGCAGGCAGGCCAGTTCAGCACACGGACTCTTCTACTACAAAGACATGCTGTTGTAATAGTTGCAGTATGTGGTTTTGCATTGTCCTGCTGAAATACGCAAGGCCTTCCCTGGAATAGATGTCATCTGGAGGGGAGCATATGTTGCTCTAAAACCTTTATATACCTTTCAGTATTCATGGTGCTTTTTAAAACATTCAAGTGTCCCACACCATATGCACTAATGCATCCCCATACCATCAGATATGCTGGCTTTTGAACTGAATGCTGATAACAGGAGGGGTGGTCTTTCTCTTCTTTAGCCTGGAGAACACGACGCCCATGATTTCCAACAAGAATGTCAAATTTGGACTCGTCTGACCACAGGACACTTTGCCACTTTGCTATTTTAAATGAGCCTTGGCCCACAGAACACGGCGGCGCTTCTGGATCATGCTCAACATTGGCTTCCTTTTTGCATGATAGAGTTTTAGGTGGCATCTGTGGATGGCACAGTGGACTGTGTTTACAGACAGTGGTTTCTTGAAGTATTCCTGGGCCCATTTAGTAATGTCAATGACAGAATCATACCGGTGAGTGATGCAGTGGCGTCTGAGGGCCCGAAGATCACGGGCATCCAGTAAAGGTCTTCGGCCTTGTCCCTTACACACAGACATTTTACCAGTTTCTCTGAATCTTTTGATGATGTTATGCACTGTCGACGATGAGACCTTCAATGCCTTTGCAATTTGACATTGAGGAACATTGTTTTTAAATTATTCCACAATTTTTTATGCAAGCCTTCACAGGTTGGAGAGCCTCTGGCCATCTTTACTTCTGAGAGGCTCAGCCTCCCTAAGACATCCCTTTTATAGCCAATCATGTTACACACCTGATGCCAGTTAACTTAATTACTTACTAAATGTTCTTTCAGCTGATTTTTTAATATATTATTTGCATTTTCAGCCCTTTTTTGTCTGGGTCTTTTTTGCCTTTGAGACCTGTTGCAGCCCGAAAATTTGAAATAAGCTCATTTTGTGGATACAAATGTAAAATTTTTGTTTCAACATTTGAAATGTTATCTATGTTCTATTGTAAATAACATATTGGCTCATGTGATCTGAAAGTCATTGCATTTTTTTTTATTCACAATTTACACTTCGTCCCAACTATTTCGGAATTGGGGTTGTACTTTTTAATTTCTGTATTCAAAATTTTCTTGGAGTTTGCGTGTTCTCCAGGTGTTCGCATTGGTTTCCTCCAGGTACTCCGGTTTCCTCCCACAGTCCAAAGACATGCGTGTCAGGAAAACTGGAGACTCTAAATTGCACGTGGGTATGAGTGTGTGACAGAATGGTGTGTGTGCCCTGTGATAGACTGAAGAGCTGTCTGGAGTGAGTCCCTGCCTTTCGCCATCATCAGCTGGGACAGGCTTCAGCTCATCGGCGACCCTAGTGAGGAGGAAATGGTTTAGATAATGGGTGGACGGATGGATGGATATTTTCTTGATTATTTACTGACCTGATTGGTGAAAGACTCTCGAATTTAAGTGGTGAAACCTCATTTCACAGGAATAGCCGTAAATTAGATTTTCATTGATTGTACAGATCAGATGTTCGCAATAAACAGGAAAAGATTTGGACCATTTTTTTTCACTAAACTGTTAAGTTCCTCTGATATTAGAAGGTCAGGCCTCCAGCCTTCAGACTCGCCGGTCTATTCAGACCTGGACCGCATTCTTCAGCTCCGCAATCATCGCATGCACCTGTTACTTATTTCCACTGTGCGATAGTATTGTGCCATTTAAGACCGAGCCTCGCACTTAGTCTTTACGAAGTCTCGTAAACAACATGCCTGTGTTGTATTGCTACTCTTGTATAGACTTATATATATATATAATATTTATTAATTGGTTAAGTTTGTTATTGCTCGCATACAGTAAAAACAGCCTGCCAATATATCCTGTATTGGCCGACCCTATATCGGCCGAGTTCAGCAGGTGCACAAGCAGTCGTGGACCGAGCATTTAGCTCTTTAATCTCTTTAGTCTTGAAGTCGCGTACTTCAGAAGTCATAGTCATAACATTGTCATGATAGCACAACATACTTAACCAATTAATAAAAATATAATAAATTGCTTATTTTCGCATTGCCTTGGTATTGGCCTTTGGGTCGCAGTATTAGCCCGAGGCCGCACGGCGATCCTCAGGCCAATACCAAGGCAATACGGAAATAAGCAATTAATAACACACATATATATATATATATATATAGTATAGAATTCTCTAACTTAGTGCTGTTTATTGTTGATATCAGCACTTTAAGTTTATTATTAAGGAACCTCATTTCCTAATTCCTTTTCTCTATTTTAGTAATGCATTGTTACTGTAGCGAAAGCCCAGTTTTGCATTACTAATGGAACTATTCAGGAATCTTGTTTCCTTTTTGCTTTGTATTGCTTTGCGTGTGTCTCCCTGCTGTGCAGGAGGCGTAATAAATACAACCAAGTCCATCCTTGCACCTGAGTCCGGTCCTTAACTTCCTGTCCTCCGTGCACATCACCAGTGTGTGAAGCACAACCCTCAAAGATATTGTCAATATAATCATTCATGATTGGCGTTATAGATTGTGTCACAACATCCCAATTTGATTTGAGGTCAGGCCTCTCGCTGATCATTTGAAAACATGGTAACACTTTACCATAAGGTTACATTAATTGATATTTGTTAATGCAGTTATAAGCATTAAGTAGAAATTAATTAACATTTAATTTATGCATCACTGTGGTAAATTAACCATTAATTTAATTAACCATAATTAACCATTTATTAATGCTGTCATCCTGATTGTAAAGCTGAAAATATCCCTGAAGTACCTTTTAAGTAACCCTTCAAACATTAAACTATTAAGTAATGTATAAATTTATACTGTAGTGAACATGAACACTGTTAGTAAATGATTACTAGGCACACTAGTTAACTGATAATTAACCGTTAGTTAATTCTTATTGCTGTATTAACTAATGTTAAATAATGTACATTAATCTCCGGGCCTGTGGGAATTAAAGCCGCCTTCGGTTTATGTTATTCCCTTCACTGAGCTTTAATTTTAAAAAGGAATCTTTTGATGTTTATGTGAAAAACACATACTTTTGATCTACCGATCCTCAAAATATATTTCCAGAAGCAGTTTGGAACTTTCAGATTGTGAGTTTGAGGGGTGCAACTTCATGTACTCATGTTAATAATGAGCAACACTTTTGTCTGGCGTCTTCCCTTTAACACTATTTTTGCTCGACTTTCTTCAGAATCGTGGACACATGAAGTGATAATTAAATGACTTTGAGAGATTTCTGCTGATCCTTGGCTGTTATCCAAGCGATCTTTGTCATCTCCTTGAGCACTTCTCCCTGTGCTCTTACTGTGCACTTTGAAGAATAACCACTCTTTGGGAGTTTAACTACTATTAAGACACATTTCACATTACTAATTTCATCCATGTGAAGGCAATTAGTCTTTATGTGGTTTATTGAACACCCTGGCCTACGCACAAGTATTTTAAACTCTTTTATTTTAAGTCTTTTGATGGTGAATGATGAATCTCTTTTGATTCAGGGCAGGTTCACATCACATTGTGATCCTACGTGTTAAGAGAGAATCATTAGTAACGAATTTTGTTTTTGTTTTTATAGGAACACGGCATTTCTAACCTCTCCCCACGGTTCATTTATAAGTTAAAGTGACCTTTGTCAAATTATTTTCACATAATTTTCCCCATCTAGACTCCATCTAGACATTTATACAATAAAGTAAATATAGACAATAAAAGCTGCCCTTATTTCTGTTATCAGTTTGCATAGATAGTGTTTGTGACTGAGATGAAGATTGACAATTTCTGTGATTAAGTCATAAACCAAAAGGCCTTAAATAAAATTTTGCCACTGTATATGTTGCGCGTCCCAAGAAATTACTCCCTCGAAGGAAGTTCTGAGGTTCCTCAAGGTTGGTGGCACAATGGTGGGGCAGTTAGTGCTGTTTTCTTGCAATAAAGTGGTTTCAGGTTCAAGTCCTGCTTGGCCAAGACCTCTGTGTGAGGAGTTAGTGTGTTTTACCCTGAATAGGTTTCTTCTGGGTACTCCGGTTTCCCCCGCACTGAAAGATAAGCTCTATAGGAACACTTCTGCAGGTGTTCCTGACCAAGATTCTGGCTTTAGAATGGGAGCTGGTCCCTGGGTGTAGCACTGTGGCTGCCCACTGCTCCTAAGTAACTAGGATGGGTCAAATGCTCACAACATATCACCTCATGGGGTTAAATGAGGTGTACCTTATCAACTCTTGTATTCCTTTTTCCTACCACACTGTAGGCAAATCTACCGGATTAGAATCTCTTTATTTATGATGAAACTCAGCCGATTTCCAGGTGAGGCAGAGAGGGAAGTGTGAGTGATCGGAATGAGTCTCGGACGTGAGAGAGGATCCCCTCGCACCGTCAGCCAGAGCGTCTCGGCTAGCACTCTGAGTGAAGGGGATGATGGGAAGGGTGTCGGGGGAGCGCCAGTCACGCTGACTGAGGCGCGAAACGCTAGCGGGGTTCGGCGTTCTGCTGACAGGCCTCAAAATCCTGACATTATTAGAGCCGTTACAACTGCTAGCGTTTCAGCCGCGGGGAGCTGAAGCGAGGGGAGGGGAGGGGGGTTGTGTGTCGAGAAAAAGCCTTCCTGTCAGACGTCAGCGAAATGTTTCACTCTCAGGATGTGTCTGCGGCGGAACGGTGGGAAAGCAGGAGAGAGAAGTGTAATATTTAGCGGCAGAGAAAGCCACACAAGCCCATTCTCATCTCGACTCGTTATGTAGTGACGGTACCTGACTAAGCGTCAATATATGACAAAAAAAGGAGGCGTTTGGCGTCCTTATTTGACTCCAGTTTCAAACACATCTTGCCCCCTAACGCTTAACCTGAACCCTGACCCTAAATGTCAAATAAGGACGCCGAAAGCCTCATTTTTCATTGTGTATTGGCGCCTGGTCAGGTATTGTCATTATTTGATGAGTCGGGATGAGAATGTATTGGCCGCACACAGTGGGGAGGAAACGGGGAAGGTGATTGGTTGAAATAACCAGGTGGACTGTACACGTTATTCACAAAAAGTTGTGTGCGACGAATCCCATTAAAGGCCTGTACCTGACTTTTGAATGTTATTTCTTCCTTAGTTTGGATGGCTAAACAGTTTCTCAATGCTGCGCTCACTGTGATGATTTTCGATTTGGGCAAACAAAAATGTACCCACCCAGAAAAACATGCTCCATGTGATGCTCCTACCAGCGCCCACGTCCAAGGCTCTGGCTGTAGAAAAGGAGTTGGTCCCAGGGTGCTGCACCGTGGCTGCTCACTGCTCACTAGGATGGGTCAACTGCAGAGGGCTAATTATCGAACACGGTTCAACAAAGTATATCTCAATAAGTAAAAAGTCAGGCTGGCGCCAACAGACTTTTTCAGAAACTGTTTGACAAATTTATTTTGGTGAACGCTGACCGTCAAAGAAAAGGCAGTGGCTATTTTTACGTCAGTCGTAAAAATCTTACTGAAATGTGCTATTCATATGAACGTCTGCATGCGCGATGTAGGAAATCTGGACCTGGACCACTATAGCTATAAGATATCAGCTGACATCAGCTACCGGGACGACTATGACATTACATATGATTTTAACCAGCTAGTTGCTTGTAAACTTAGCTAGCTCGTTAGGTAGATATGAAAGTGTGATTTTTGGATCAATGTTTGCTCGCTAACGACCTGGGGAGCTGTCAGGTCGTCAATTTTTACTATCAATAGTCGGTAGTGGTTGGTGTCATGTTGGAGAACTGATTACCTTCACGAAGTTTGTCCTTGCAAGAAATTTTAGAATGCTAGTTGTCAAAATGGCAAGCTGGCTGAATAGGCTAGCTAATAACTAATGCTGTTTAGTAAGAATAGGCGACATTCTAACTGTAACTTAAAGTAAGTTAGCCGGCAAGCTGGTCTGGTAACCATAAGGCATGCGGCAAGCTCAGGCTATATTCGCGCCAGTCAGTGAATTGCAATTTTTTTCGAAGGCCAAATTTCCAACATTACGCATGTGCATGCGGAAGTTTGTAAGAATAGCAGGTTGGAGTAAATTAACGACAATTGGCGTAAAAAGAGCCACACCAAAAAAAAAAAATAAAAATTAGACTGCAAAAAAAATATATATATATTAACAGGATCCTGGCCGTTGTCACGTTGTACTCTTTTAATTTGCATTAAGGGACCACAAATGTTAAAAGATCACAGTGTGTGCAGTCCTTAGGTGGATGACCTTAGGTTCCTTCTATCAAGAAAAGTTCTCAGATAGTAAGTCTATGGTAATTGGCTCCCTCATTAAATCAGAAGTAATTTGGGGGGCTCTTAGGAGAGATTTCACTGGGACACAACAGGCTTTGGTCCCCATGATAATGCACTGTAAAACTGTGGAACATGTGACATGTTTATAATCTAAACACCAGTGTGTAAAAGCTAAATGCTAGGTGATTATTTTTGTAAATAGGTGTTCTCATTCAAAACACTGATGTTTATTGGATGTTGCGATCGAGGTTTTCTCAGATTTGTTGAATACACTTTAAAACTAAATCTAAACACTGTGACATGTTTAAAAAGTGTTACAAAAAAGCATTTAGCATATGTTCAGGACTTAAACATTTGGTTTTACAGAGTGGGTAATGGATATCATGGTATTTAATATAAAATTGAATATGGCCATCAACCATGATCATGGATTATCTGCTACAATAATGCATATCGAACACCTTAATTACAGCAATATTACCATTATTATGGTCATTCCATTATTAAGGATTATCTACTATGATCTACCATGATGATAAAATTCAAATATGTTAGTGGACAACGACCATGATCATAGATTATATATTATAATAATTGATATCATAGTAATGGTTATCTATCATGACTATGGATTATCTACAATGATAATAGATATCAAAACGGTAATATCTACCATGATGTTGCGAATTTACCATGGTAATGGCTATCTACCATGGCTTTAAACTGAATCTACCCTCTGTCTTGAAGCAATCTCCTTGCAAACTTTTGTAGATCAGGATTAAATTGTAAAACATGGGCTTCATTCTCTGCAGGCAGACACAGCATCATTGTTTATTTCTTAGCAGCTCCTAAACTGGCGTCACCAATATCTTCATTTTCCCAGAATCCTCCAAAGTTTCTCCGAACAAATTTTTTTTTATCCTTACCTTTTTATTTTTCTCAGTATCAATGACCTTTGTGTTAGCACCAGCTCTCGCACCGCGGTGCTAATTACATCAGCTGAATCACCGGGACCTGCGGAGGAATAGAGACAGGTAATGAATCGGGGACCGGGAGATGGTGTGAGACGCAGAGAGAGGTGTGAAAGAGAGGGCAAGAGAATGAGGATGAGTGAAACAGACACAGAAAGGGAGTGGAACAGAGTCCTGGAGAGATAAAAGCAGAGTGTATCAGAGATGGAGAGCTAGAAAGAGAGAGCGTGAGGGAGGTGGAGACAGAGGGAGAGTCATAAGGGGACCAAGCGAGTGAGCGAGCGAGAAAGAGAGAGAAGGGGTGAGAGCGTTTGGCAAACAGCGCTCCAGCATTAGAGATGTTCTTTCCCCCCGCTTGGCGTGTGTTGCCGCGGCGCCGTCGCCGTGGGGAGCGCAGATCAGCTCGCCTCTCCGGGCCGCGGGCTGTTTGGCGCACCGCACACACTTACGGCCCCTGATGGCGTCCCTCTTTATCTCCGTTTATTTCCAAACCAAACAGCCCAGGTATGCCTGCGGCGAAATCCTTTCACGACTCATTGGGTTGATGTATAGTTCCCCCCAAATGTGTCTTTTTCCTGTTTTCTTTATTTATTGAGTTTTTTTTGCATGTAAACCAGCTCCCTCAGTACCCTGCAGGGTCCAACTGGGAGGTTTGAGGCCAAATCTTCGATCGGATATCGGGGTCCTCTCCCTCCAGTCCTTCACTGTTTTGTTGTAACAGGGCTGTAAGGGTCTGAAAGTGTCTAGTTATGTTTTCTTCTGTATTTTGTGATTGTGTTTATTATTTTTCATGTTTCATTGTTTAGTTTTAGATATTCTTTGTATTAGTTCAGCATTTCCATCGTCTCTCACTCACCGTGTGCTTTCTGTTTCTCACTCACTCATGTGCGCCACCCTTTCCTTATTGTTAAGTGCTTGATCACTCCTCATTTGTAGCCACACCTCCCTGCACACGCTCAGCTCCCCTGTACACCTGTTGCCCATCCAATTAGTCACTCAGCTTCCCTTTATATACCTCTCACTCCCCATTCCCAGTCTTAGCCAGTTTCCAGCATACGAGCGGTTTATCCTGAGACTGCCCTGAGTACAATTCAGTTTGCTTTCCGGTTTCCGATTCTGTCTTCTGCGTCCCGCTGACACCCGTGTTTGATTTCTGATTTGGCTTTTTGGTTTTCAAGATTTTCTTTGTGATTTCATCTCTGACCAGGGACTAATTTGTACTTTTTCTGACCTTCATTTAGCTTGGGGATGTCCACTGAGCATGTGTTCATCTTTCTGAGGATGCCCAGGGAGGGCGGTTCGATAGCACAGATGCAGCCAGGGCGAGTGGGAGAGAGAAATGTGGGGAGGCCCTAGGGGTGGTTTTGGGAGAGTTTTTCCAAACTTTGTTTCTCCAGATGTCCGACTCTCAAAGCCACCGGGATTTGAACCAGAGACACTACCGTTACCAGTCAACCTGCCCTCCACTGTGCTACCCTGCGACTGCACAGTTCATGAACTATTTATCAGGTCCCCAGGTCAATGGAGGAATCCGACCAACCAGCGATCTTAAGGCGAGACACTACAGGCAAAAACATCGTTTTTTGATGCAATGTTCAATTTTGAGAGTTTGGGCTATTTCACTTCCATAACATGTCTTCTTTTATACTAGTATAAGTAAAAGGTCCAAAAAAAAACATTTAGGTGTTTATTTTACTATACTTTCACTGTTTGCGTCTGCATGTTTCTCCTCAATTCACCGACAGTTAG